ATCATCATCATCAGAAATCATCATCATCATCATCATCAACATCATCATCATTATCGCCATCATCCTCATCCTCAAACTCATCCTCATCCTCATCCTTGTCATAACGATCACCGGAATGATCAGCATCAACATCGTCACCAGTAATAGCATTATCGTAATCGCCACCACCGCAACACCATCATCATCATCATCACCACCACCATCATCGTCAGCATAACCAACATCACAATCATCATCAGCAGCATCATCACCGTCATCGTAATCGTAATCGTCATCCTCACCAGTGTCATCACCACCTTCTTCTTCATCATCATCATCAGAATCAGCATCATCGTCATCATCAGCATCGTCATCGTCATCATCATCACCACCATCACCATCACAATCATCACCAGCGTCATCGTCATCATCGTCAGCATCAGCATCAGCATCAGCATCATCATCATCATCATCATCATCATCATCATCATCATCATCATCATCATCATCATCATCATCATCATCATCATCATCATCATAATCATCACATCATCATCATCATCATCATAATCAGCAGCAGCATCAGCATCAGCATCAGCATCAGCATCAGTATCATCATCATAGTCGGCATCATAATCCTCATCAGCATCATCATCGAACCAGTTCTCGTCCTCATACTCCTCCTTCGCATCATCATCATCATCATCATCATCATCAGAAATCATCATCATCATCATCATCATCATCATCATCATCAACATCATCATCATCATTATCGCCATCATCCTCATCCTCAAACTCATCCTCATCCTCATCCTTGTCATAACGATCACCGGAATGATCAGCATCAACATCGTCACCAGTAATAGCATTATCGTAATCGCCACCACCGCAACACCATCATCATCATCATCACCACCACCATCATCGTCAGCATAACCAACATCACAATCATCATCAGCAGCATCATCACCGTCATCGTAATCGTAATCGTCATCCTCACCAGTGTCATCACCACCTTCTTCTTCATCATCATCATCAGAATCAGCATCATCGTCATCATCAGCATCGTCATCGTCATCATCATCACCACCATCACCATCACAATCATCACCAGCGTCATCGTCATCATCGTCAGCATCAGCATCAGCATCATCATCAGCATCAGCAGCATCATCATCATCATCATCATAATCATCATCATCATCATCATCATCATCATCATCATCATCATCATCATCGACATCGCCATCATCACCAGCATCACCAAAGTCAGCATCATCATCGCCAGCAACGTCATTAGCAGCAGCATCATCAGTAGCATCAGCATCATCTCAAGCTGCATCATCATCAGCATCAGCACCATAATCATCACCATCAGTATCATCATCGGCAGCGTCAGCATCATCATCATCAGCATCAGTATCATCGGCATCACCATGATTACCATGATAACCAGCACCAGCGTCATCCTCAGCAACATCATCAGAAGCAGCATCATCATCACCATCACCATCACCAGCATCATCATCAGAAACAGCATCAGCATCAGCATCAGCATCAGCATCATCATCATCATCACCATCACCATCATCATCAACAACAGCATCATGAACAGCATCATCATAACATGTACCATAATCATCATCATCACTATCAGCATCATCGTCATCATCATCGTCGTCAGCAGCATCATCCACATCATCATCATCATCATCATCATCATCATCAGCATCATCATCAGCATCATCAGCATCATCATCATCCGTAACATCTCTGCTCCTCGCCCCACTGGCCTCCACATCCTCGTCGTCTGCCTCTGTCTCCCTTGTCTTCTCCTCCTTCTCCTCCTCCGCGCATGCAGATGAGACCCAAAGAATGGCAGGGACGGAAACGGGGGAGGGCAGGCGGGAGATGAAGGGGTAGAAGCGGGACAAACGGGGAGGGCAAACCGAACGAACGAACATCTTTGGCAGCAAGAGTGTCTCTGTCCACGCAGACTGGGATCAAAGCATACAAAAAGTTCACTGCCGATATGGCCCTCGGAGCCGCAAAACCCGCCAGCCCAGACCACGGTCACGGTGAGAGCAATGGAGTGGTGGCAAAAGGGGGAGGGGACAGGAGCAGGACGGAGAGAGGGAAGGGGATACGCAGGGGAAAGGGGACGGATGACGCGGGGACGGGGGACGGGGGCGGAGAGACGGAGGAAGGGGAACGGGGGAGTAAGGGGTGAAGGTGCAGAGAGGGAGGTGGGGAGAGCCAGAGAGGGAGAGCTGAAGAAGAGGGACGGAGATGGAGACGGGAAAGGGACGGACAGAGTGGGGGAGGAGAACCATCGGATCGCACCACCTCTGCAGACGAGCCATTTGGGCTGGAGAAAACACTGCCAAACTCGTTCCCGTTGCCCCAGCGCTGCTCAAGGGGCCCAAGGACACACAACGAAATACACACAAATCAAAATATTCCCCATATGTTCCTATTATATGTTCTGGGTTTCTTGTCGTCCCCCCCCCCCACTTCCCAGATTCTCCTATATTTTCTGGGGAATCGAGGTTGCCTTCTGTCTGTGTGCTGCTTTTCCCCTCCTGAGCTGCGGTGGGGGGCCCCCTCCCCGTCACCCTCCCGTCTCCGAACCCCCCCGCCGGGGCTCCGTCGCTCCGCCCAGGCGCTCTTTTTGGCCACGACGACGACCACCACCGCGACGACGGCCATGAGGACCACGACCACGTATGAGAGGGGCCCTGGGACACACGAATAGATACACATAGTTCTGGGTCTTCGCCATCGGTTCCCATAGTTTCCCGTAGTTGTGGGCTCCCACAGCTTCGCCACCGATAAGTGGATTCCCCATAGTTTCCCACGTGCTCTGGGTTTTTGTCTTCCCGCCCATTTCCCATATTTTCCCATCGTTTCTGGGGGGCCGGCGATTCATTTGTGTGTGTGTGTGTGTGTGTGTCTTCCCCTCCTGAACGTAGGCGACTACCGAAACCATGAATTCGAAAAAAGGTCGACGACGTCTAACTTCTACTACTGCCGCCCACTTTCCGCCAGCAGACCCGCCGCAAGTTCACTTACGCTGGCTTCCGCCGGCATGCCGCTGGCCCCCGCAGAGGGCGAGCTATGCCGAAGGCGAGGCCTTTTTTCAGGAGCGCCCCACGTCGGCAGCCCAGGCGACGACAGCGACGACGGCGACGCCGACTCCGCTAACTTCCCCCGTGTGTCCGACCCGACCCTGGGGGCGGAGGGGGGGATGAGGAGAAGCAGGGGGGAGAAGGAGAAGGGGGAGGAGGGGTATGGGGAGGGGGAGAGGGAGGAGGAGGCAGAGGAGGAAGAGGCAATGACAAAGGGGAAGGTAACGGTAATGGTAATGGTAATGGTAATGGTAATGGTAATGGTCATGGTCATGGTCATGGTCACGGTCACGGTCACGGTCACGGTCATGGTCATGGTCATGGTCATGATCATGGTCATGGACATGGTCATGATCATGGTCATGGTCATGGTCATGGTCATGGTAAGGGTAAGCGTAAGGGTAAGGGTAAGGGTAAGGGTAAGGGTAAGGGTAAGGGTAAGGGTAAGGGTAAGGGTAAGGGTAAGGGGAAGGGCAAGGGCAAGGGCAAGGGCAAGGGCAAGGGCAAGGGCAAGGGCAAGGGCAAGGGCAAGGGCAAGGGCAAGGGCAAGGGCAAGGGGGCAAGGGCAAGGGCAAGGGCAAGGGCAAGGGCAAGGGCAAGGCAAGGGGCAAGGGCAAGGGCAAGGGGGCAAGGGCAAGGGCAAGGGCAAGGGCAAGGGCAAGGGCACAAGGGCAAGGCAAGGGGCAAGGGCAAGGGCAAGGCAAGGGCAAGGGCAGGGCAAGGGCAAGGGGGCAAGGGCAAGGGCAAGGGACAAGGGCAAGGGCAAGGGCAAGGGCAAGGGCAAGGGCAAGGGCAAGGGCAAGGGCAAGGCAAGGGCAAGGGCAAGGGCAAGGGCAAGGGCAAGGGCAAGGGCAAGGGCAAGGGCAAGGGCTAAGGGTAAGGGTAACATTAATGGTAATGTAATGGTAATGGTAATGGTAATGGTAATGGTAATGGTAATGGTAATGGTAATGGTAATGGTGGAATGGTAATGGTAATGGTAATGGTAATGGTAATGGTAATGGTAATGGTAATGGTAATGGTAATGGTAATGGTAATGGTAATGGTAATGGTAATGGTAATGGTAATGGTAATGGTAATGGTAATGGTAATGGTAATGGTAATGGTAATGGTAAATGGTAATAATGGTAATGGTAATGGTAATGGTATGGTATGGTAATGGTAATGGGTAATGGGTAATGGTAATGGTAATGGTAATGGTAATGGTAATGGTAATGGTAATGGTAATGGTAATGGTAATGGTAATGGTAATGGTAATGGTAATGGTAATGGTAATGGTAATGGTAATGGTAATGGTAATGGTAATGGTAATGGTAATGGTAATGGTAATGGTAATGGTAATGGTAATGGTAATGGTAATGGTAATGGTAATGGTAATGGTAATGGTAATGGTAATGGTAATGGTAATGGTAATGGTAATGGTAATGGTAATGGTAATGGTAATGGTAATGGTAATGGTAATGGTAATGGTAATGGTAATGGTAATGGTAATGGTAATGGTAATGGTAATGGTAATGGTAATGGTAATGGTAATGGTAATGGTAATGGTAATGGTAACGGTAACGGTAATGGTAATGGTAATGGTAATGGTAATGGTAATGGTAGTGGTAATGATAGTGGTAATGATAGTGGTAAGGGTGAGGGTGAGGGTGAGGATAAGGGTAAGGGTAAGGGTAAAGGCAATGACAACGGCAATGGTAATGATAATGGTAATGGTAAGGGTAATGGTAATGGTGCATAGGCGATTCGCCTCGCCGCTGCGTGGCCTCAGCGCTCGTCGAAGACGGCGGCGAAGAACCCCTCCACGAACACGGCCTCGGGCCCCAACCCACGACGACCGAGCCGAACAAGCACATCCACATGTACTGCTTGGCGATGCTGCGAAAACCCGCCACGAGGACTCCAACCTGCCCCGCCACCATCGCGAGCGCGGCCTCGTGCTCGGTGGGGCCAACCACGAGGCCGCCGACGGCCGCCCTGGGGGCCTCCATCCCTGTACGGAACACGTCGATGCCATCGTCGCTGTCCACAGCACCGCCCGCCCTGCCACGGGTATCCCGCTTGCGGCCCCTGACTCCTGACGGCCTGATGCGCTCCGCCATGTGCCCGCCGCGCCGCCGCCGAGCCGCGCAGCCGAAGCCCAGGCGGCCACCCCGAGATGAGGCCGTCGGCCCAGCCGTCTCCGGGGGAGGCGGCATCCCCCTGCTGGGCACGCCTTGCCTGCGGGAACGTCCGGGCCGCGTGCGGCCGCCCGCTGGGGCGGCAGCGCCTCTTGGAGGCCTGTGCGGCCGCCGCCGCGCCTGGGCCCCCGCCCTGCGCTCCAGCCGCTGCTGCGCCGCCATCTCCTCCTTCCTGCTGTTCCTCGGCATCGCCGCCGTGGACGCTCGGCACAGCAGGCGGGCGCCCCGCGCGGCCGCGCGGCCGGTGGCGTCTCCGAAGGGGCGCCGCGGCCGCAGGCTCCGCCAGGGTCGGCGCGGGCGTCGTGCCGATCTCCACGGTGGCTGCCCCGAGCAGCCCCTCGGCGGCCCGCCGCGCGTACGCACTCCCGCTCGGGGGTGGTGCGCCGCGAAGCCGCTGGCAGCGTGACCCGCCAGGAGAGCGCCGCGGGTCGTCCGGGCGGCGGCGCGAGCTCCACAGGGGCCGGCCATCGCTGCCCTTCCTCAGCCTTCTGACGACCTACCAGACCACCCCAACCAACCCGAAGACCCGAACTTGACCGGCATTTCGGGTTGGGGGGGGGTACGGGTTCCACGTGTTTTTTTCGTCATCCCCGACGCCCCCCACTGGAAATCGAAGATAAATTTGGGCCTTCGGGTTGGGTTGGGGTGGTTTGGTGGGTGGTGACCTTCACCCCCCGCCGCAGCAGCAGGCCGGCAGGTCAGTACGGGCGCGCGGCCTGCGTCGGGGGCGCGGGCGCGAGCGGCGGGCCCAGCGTGCACGCCTTGGGCCAGCATGCCAACTAGGAGGAGGAGGAGGAGGAGGAGGAGGAGGAGGAGGAGGAGGCGGCGGAGGAGGAAGAAGAGGAGGAGGCGGAGCGTGAAAGAAGGAGGAGGAGGGGAAAAAGGAGGAAGAGGAGAAGAAGGAAGAGGAGGAGAAGAAGTGGAAGGAGGGGGGGAAGAGGAGAAGAAGGAGGAGGAGGAGGAGGAGAAAAAGGAGGAGGAGGAGGACGAGGAGGAGAAGAGGGACGAGAAGATGGCGGAGAATGAGAAGGAGGGCGGAGGAGGAGGAGGAACAAGAGGAGAAGGAGGAGGAGCAGGAGGAGAAGGAGGAGGAGAAGGAGGCGGAGGAGCGAACGTCGCTCCAAAGGGGGTCACCTACCTTCTCGTGCGTGCACGTGCAGATTCCAGGCAAAGAAGTAAGTACTGAGGCCCAGAACCAGGGTGCGCTGAAACAATGCAGTGCACTTGGTGCGTCATGCTCAGCCTCAAGACCGACCGATCGAGCACGTCGCCGGGGGTCGAGGAATGATCCTGGGCTGATCCCTGACACAACTTCATTAGAACTGAACCAGAACAAAACTCTCTAGGGTAGCAGACCGCCCACCACAGGTGACGACATCTTAGATGATGTGCCATCGGGTCTGTTCCCTCCTGGCAACCAAACTTAGATGGGGCCGAAGGAGTAGATGTGAATACATGCATGCGGGCCACTGTGGGGCCACGCTCCTGTGAGGACTTTGATCACCGCCCACCTCACCCCCCTCCCTCTAGTCAGCAGGACCTGCTTTAAAGACGTCCAGCGTCTGCTCGGCACACTGGTGGGAGGAGTGTCTACCCCCACCCAACAATATGTTTCCTGAACGTGATGGGAAAATAATCAAAGAAAGAGAGGGACGTGAGAAAGGAGCGAATGGAGGACTGGAAAGAGAAACGTTTTTTCCTACGCTCATCCTCACCCCGTGGCTCTGCCCGCCACGCAACTTCTGCTTCCTGCGTCATCCGCAGCGCCTCCTTCAGGTTCGCCTCCGCCCACTCGCGGTGCCTGGGCCGACAGTGCGGCGCCTTGCCCTCAAGCACGTCTCGCAGGTGCCGCGCAGGGCCTCGACGGTAGCACCACCAGCTCGGAGTGAAGAGGAACTGCGGAAGGTCCGACAACACCATCTGTGCCGAGCCGCACACATTCAGGGAGCGACAGCGGTGCTGTGAGGCCCAGGCTGCTGCCTATGGAAAGGAGGCAGTCCTTCCTGAAGGCCTTCGGCGGCACCCGCAGCAGCACGTGCATCAGGTCCAGCTCGCGGTCCAGCACCTCGTCGGGCAGCGGGAAGAGCATGCCAACGTAGAGGAGACACGGCACCGCCAGACCATTGGATGCCTGGGTCAGCGCGTCGTTGGATAATGCTGAAGCTCCCTAGGCGCGTGCCCTCGCGGCGAACTTGGCAGCAGGTTCATGCCACTGCCTGCTGAGGTCCGCTCCAGGGCCCAGCCAGCAGCCCAGGTACTTGGCCATGGAGGTGATCGCGAAGCCCGACCAGCCGTCCACCGCGGTCCCCAAGGAGCCCTTGACGAAGATGGTGGGGAGCTCCGAGATCGGCGCCCAGAGCGGCACCAAGCGGCACGTGGCCAAGTTGAGCTCCAGGCACGCGAAGGCCGCCATCGCCCTGAAGACCGCCCATATCGGCCACAACGAGACGAGGTCGCGGATCACGACCCCCACGCCATCAGCACAGCCCTCGACGTCACCATTGCGCAACACAATAGGTCGCTCGATCTTCCAGGGCTCACCACGCCACGGCATGTCCAGCACAGAGGCCAGATGCTCAAGGAAGGGAGAAAAGAGCAGGGCACACAAAGAGCCTGACATCGGGCATCCCTCAGCAACCCCCGCCGTAACCGTGAAGGCCACGGTGAGCAGCACAGGATGACCCCCTTTCTGCCTGGCAGATGCCACTGAATGCACGAGCCATCAAGTCAACGTGGATGATGTTCGGGATGAAGGACCTGCCTCGGACAAATCCACGCTGGACCGCCGCTGCCCTCCGTTGCGCCACTGCCGCCAGCTCATGGTTGACCACCGTTGCGATCAGTTCCCTGTCCGTGTTAAGCAGCATGAGCGGCCGCAGCGCCCCAGGGTGACAAAATCATCTCTGAGGCACAGAAGGCCTCACCACTCTTCGGAATCAGCACCAGCAGCCCGTGGTTGAAGCCGTCGGGGAAGCCCAATCCTGCGAGCGCTTCCTGGCAGAGCCGAAAGAGACAGGCGACCGCCGCAGGCATCCGCCCACGCGACATACGGCAACCTGTCAGGCCCAGGAGAGGAGTCTCGACCATGCCTCGCCGCACGCATGAGATCCTTGTCACTGAAGGCGAAGTCCTCACGGCGACTGGCAGGAGCGAACCATCGCTCGAGACACACTGTGGCCGCGTCATCGTCGATGTCCTTTTCTCTGAAGACAGGGCCCCAGTACTCGCGCACTGCATTCAGCATGGCATCAGCATCTTTCACCGTGTACGGAGGGGCATGCGCATGCGCCTCAGGAGAGCCCGAGGGAGAGACCTGAGGACTGGAGTGCCCGTCACGGCAGACCCCCCTCGCCTCCGCGCACACCTTGACCCTATTGAGCTGCCAGACAGGATGCTTGCGGAGCCACAGCTGAGCCTTCTTCAGGATGCTCCCCTGCTTCCGCTTCCAGTAGTCGCCCTCCTGCTTCTGCGCCACCGCAAACCCACGTCGGGCGCGCCGAGCTGCTTCTCGCCGCCGTTCATAGAAGAAGGAGGAGGAGGAGGAAGAAAAAGAGGAGGAGGAGGAGGAGGAGGAGGAGAAGGAGGAGGAGGAGGAGGAGGAGGAGGGAGGGGGGGGTGGGCGCGGCCTTTACTTGGCCGCCCGGTTCGCCAGGCGCCCTTCCTCTCCTTGTAGATCTCGACGGCGCAGGCCTTGCCCGAGCTGTCCTGCGGGCGGGCGGCCGGTCCGGCGGGCGGCGTCGGGGCGGGAGGCGGGGGGAGTGAGCAGGAAGATGAACGAAGAGGCACCTTCCTCCCTCCTCCCTCCTCCCTCCCTCCTCCCTCCTCCCTCCTCCCTCCTCCCTCCTCCCTCCTCCCTCCGCTCCCTCCTCCCTCCTCCCTCCTCTCTCCTCCCTCATCCCTCCTCAGGGCGGCGCAGCAGCAGGATCGGAGGCTTGGAAGCGGGCACCGACACCAACACGGGGGTCTGCCTCCACCAGGGGAAGGCGATCCTAGATCTTGGCGCGGGTGGTAATGTCTCGGCAGTCTACGAAGCCCGGATATCACCACCATCACCGAGATCGGGATCATCGTTTCTCGGTGGAGGCGCACCGCCGATATTGATGTTGGCGTCAACCTCTAGGCCTCCGACAGGAAGGAGATGGGGGAATTGCTGCCTTAGCTGCGACAGCATAAGATAGAAGCAAAGAGACGAGGCACATTTCACTCGTCAAAGCACACTGCGGCCACAACCAGGCCGAAACGTCACGTGGTGGAAAGACCAATGGTGAAGTGTGCTTTGGTCAGGTGTACCGGCGTGGGGGCCACGAGCCTCTCGGTCGAATGTCAGATTGCACCATCATTCACTCGAAACACATATGAATACAGTCGGTGCGTTGACCTAAGGAACCCTAAATAAGGAACCCCCTTTTTTCCATAAGTTAAACTTCGATTTCCCATCGAAAACATAAGGAAAACCTGAGGCAAGCTGTGAAACACGTAAGGAACGCGGAGCCCCTCCCCAACCAAAAGGGTTCCTTCTTCAGGGCCCCGACTGTACTACTGCAGACAACCCCGCCGCGCTGTTGGCCAGGGAAGCGCGGACCACCACCCCCGATGCGCTCTTTCCGCGACGAGGCGTGTCCTGGCCGGGCATGGCTTCGCAGAGTGGCGCGCCGAGGGGGGCCCGGCCACGCTCGGCCTTCGGCGCCCTTCCTCGCGGAGGCGGGGGGGGGGGGGCTGGAGGAGCAGGCAGGGAGGTCCCGCCGGCAGGCCCAGGCCTCTCGAAGCGGAGCGCTTCCCCCCCCCCCACCACACGCACGCCTTGGACACCGTGAACGAGACCTCGTCGTCCGCGGCGAGCCAGATGGTCTTGTAGCCGTTGGAGTTCCTCGCCGCGCGCGGGGTCCGAGAGGCGGTTGTGCTGCCTATGTGATTTGCGCGTTCCTTGCACGCCCATTCCTTACACAGCCTGCCGTTCAGAGCTCCGCCGTTTCGGAGGGGGCCCTGGGACACACACAAACAAACACACACACAAAGTAAAAGGATTCCCCATGTCTCCCCATATCTTCTGGGTGCTACGAGACCTATGTTGCATCACAGCATCAATTCGGCCCCTGACTTTCGTCCTGAGCTCGATTTAGTGAAGTGATGAATTTCGAGGTCCTTCCATGGGAAACAACATCACTTCACTAATCTGGGGCCCCTGGGGCATCAGCGGGCCCTGGGGCCCAAAATTAGTGATGTGATGGTTTTCGGGCCTCAAATCTTCCCGCCCACTGCCCATATTTCCCCATACTTCCGGGGGAATCGACGATGAAATGTGTCCGTGTGCTTTTCCTCCTCCCGAGGTGCTTCCGGCGCCCGGCGAGGGAGAGCCCCGGGCCCCCGAGGAGCGGTGGCCCGGCGCGGCCCTCCGCCGTGGCCCCCCCAACCGTGGGCCCCCAACCGGGGGGCCCCACTATCGTGGGCCCCCCATCGTGGGCCCCCAGAGGAGGAGAGGGAGGAGGGGGAGGGGGAGGAGGAAGAGGAGTAGGAGGAGGAGGAGGAGGAGGAGGAGGAGGAGGAGGAGGAGGAGGAGGAGGAGGAAGAGGAGGAGGAGGAGGACGGGCCGCCGTCACGCCAGGCTCCCTCGCTGGGCGGCGCCCCCGCCCAGGCGATGATGGCTGGAAGTCCAGCGGGAGGCTGCTCGCGTGTTCTCTCGGGGATGGACAGACCTCCCTTTAGTAAAACGTGGTTTAGTGAAAACGACCCGAGGCCCAAACCTGGCGGGCGCGAGCCTGGAAAAGAACGGCCGCGGCGCCATCTCGAGAACCGAAAACGGACAATTCACTGACCGACGTGTCACTCTTGGGGGTTCTGTCCCCCCCCGACAATCGGTCGCATAGCCTTCCAAACCTTGGTGGCCCTAGGAGACGCAGAGGCCTGAAACTCCAAAGCAGCATGGGTGCCCCAGGGCACCGCGACCAGGGCCCCAGGTGCCTCTAAACTCTCGACTGCGCTGAAGAAGCTAGAAGAGAACAACGCGTCACACGTCGGTCGGAAGAAGTAGGTAGAAACATGAAATAGGAAGGCGGATATAGTAGATTGGGTCCAGGCCCCCCCAGAGAATAGCAAAACACAGCAAAAGCGCGTCGATGCTTGAAGTAGGAAGGCGCTTGAAGTAGATTGGGATCTGGGAACCCTAAAATACCTACCTTCAACGACCGGCGTGTTGGGCTGTTTGGGGTCTCCTGCAGCAAGGGTGTCATCCTTCTGGTTCTACGCCCGAGCGGGGTGCAGCGGCCTCTGCAGGTGACGAGGCCTCTCCAGCCGCGCTCTGCCTCGCGCAGGCGGCAAGGCTCCCTGCAAAGGGCGAGCTCGTGCGTCGGCGAGCTCAGGCCGGCTCTCCTCGCTGGCCATCGCTCGGACGTCCCTTCCCTGTGCTTTTTCCGGTTTCGTGCGTGGCTTTTTCGCCAAATGATCAAGGATGCTCCTCGATGGTCCTCGCCGAAGGAAACATGCACACGTCCGAGCGATGCCAAGCTCGATCCCTTGGCCAGACGCTGGGCCAGCTGCGGAGAGCTGGGCCACACACGGCGGCGGCCTTGCGAGGCGGGGGCCAGGAGAGCCCACCCGCACTCGGGGTAGAGGCGACGCAGGGCGGCAGCTCTTCCCGGGACGCAGCCTCCTGTTCCAAGGGCTCCCAGCTTCGCGCATCGCGCTGCGCGAAGCGCGAGGTGCGAATGACTTCGCGCTCTCGCGTCGCCTCCCAGGGGAGACGAGGAGGAGGATGAGGAATCGGAGCCGAAGCGCGAAGCGCGAAGCGCGAATATCTTCGCGCCCGCGAGGGCGCCCTTGTGTTCCGGGTCGGGGAGCGCGTGGCCCCTGCCCTTGCGCCCTCCTCGGGCGTCTGCCCCCCCCGCCTGGTCGCGAAGCCGCGGAGCGCCCAGGATGACCCAGGATGGCACCAGCGGGCCAAGTCTGCCCCGAGGTGGCCGCCAGCATGGCTCGAATGGGCCCCGAGACCCCCGAGGATTCCCCCGTGGGGCCCGATCTGAAGCGGTTTGAAAACTCAGGACGGCCCCTATATAGCCATGCTGGCAGGGCCCAGGGAAGATCCGAAAGGTTACTACAAGCACCCCAACAAACTCCCTCCTCCTCCTCGTCCTGCTTCTCCTCCTCCTCCTCCTCCTCCTCCTCCTCCTCCTCCTCCTCCTACTCCTCTTCCTCCTCCTCCTCCTCCTCCTCCTCC